ATATTACGTGTTACGGATGCGGCCAACCAGGACATTACCAAAGAGCGTGTCCTCAAAAGCAGCAACGACACCATTTTCAGTAAAGAGATCACTGGATGGTAGTGATCTCGTCAATAATAATATTAATAATCCATCACCGTTACCGTTCATTTTCATTCCAGTTAATAATATGTATATAAAAGCATTAGTCGATACCGGATCAACACGTACAATTATTCAACAGGATGCATTAAACAGAATTCGACATAAACGCGTTTATCCAGCTCAACAATGCTATCATTTAGCTGATGGTGCTTCATCATTATCCATTATCGGCTATGTTGACCTTGAGATTCGAATCCAACATGTTAGAACATATGTTACAGCAGCCGTTGCAAAGTCATTATCATGCCCACTGATATTGGGACAGGACTGGATCACATATTACCATGTTGACTATAATTCATCTACCAATCGGCTGTCAGTTTATAATAACATTGCTTCTGTTCCAATCGAACGTGTCGATGAAACAACATTTCCAGTAAGACTTGTACAACAGATAGTTTTAGAGCCAAAATCTGAACACGTTGTCGAGGCGCATGTACCAATATCATCATCGTCTGCTGTTTTATTTCATCTAAATCAAAAAATTCACCAGATTAAATCAATCATTATTCCGCACTCATTGTTACATGTCGATAAATATATTACAAAACTAACAATATATAATCCAAATATGTATTCGTGTCGTTTACCGGCCAACACGAATGTCGGAACAATTACATCATTATCATCTGGTGACACAATCTCGAATGTTATTGATAGCAATATTGATACGACAACTATGTTAACAGATGATAATAGTTGTAAACGTAAACAACGTATTAGTCAATATGCATATTCAGATTCGGATTGCCTTGGTTCAAATGGTGATTATGATAATTGTTATTACCAACAATATATATCATCGATAAATGAACAACAACAATCCAACACTAGTAAATGCATTAACATGATAACTAATACAAATACAAATCATTTACCATTACCAATCAATGTATCCACCATTATTCAAGATGCTATTAAGCATATTACCAACAAACAACAACAGCAACAATTTTATGAAATTCTTCACAAATATGATAAAATATTTGATACATCATCCCCCACAATTGCTAAAACAACGATACCACATGCCATACGTACAGCTGATCATCATCCCGTGAATTCAAGACCCTATCGTGGATCAGAAGAACAACAACGCGCTCTTCAACATATCCTTAAAATTATGTCAGCAAGTAATCAAATCCGTCCATCGACATCTCCATGGTCATCGCCAGTATTGTTAGTGAAAAAAAAAGATGGTGATTATAGATTTGTTGTTGATTATCGAAAATTAAATAGTGTTACTATTAAAGATTCATTTCCCATTCCAACTATTGAAGCAACATTAAAACAATTGTCTGGCCACTCATATTTTACAAAATTAGATTTAAAAAGTGGCTATTTCCAGATTCCGATACAAGAGGAGGATAAACAGAAAACAGCATTCATTACAACTACCGGATTATGGGAATTCAACGTATTGCCGCAAGGATTGAAAAATGCACCACCATCATTTCAACGTATTATGTATAATTTGCTGGTCAATAAACGTGAACATTATTGCCTGGTCTACCTAGACGACATTATTATATTTTCGAAGTCGTTTGATGAACATATTCACCATCTAGATGACATTTTATCCTCATTATGTAAACATAATTTTCAATTAAATCCACCCAAATGTTTTTTTGTTAAACAACAGATTGATTACTTGGGACATACAATTGATATTCATGGTATGAGACCATTACATGATAACATTAAAGCAATACAAGAACTATCATTACCATATGAACCAACACTAAAACAAGCAAATGAATTTATTGGTGGCATCGGGTGGTATAGAAAATTTATTAAAAACTTTGCCAAGATTGCTGCCCCAATCCATGCTGTTACCAATTTGAATAAGAACAATCAGCATAAATTTTATTGGGGAAAGGAACAGCGTGATGCAGCTAATAAATTAAAAGAAATTATAAGTGGTCCTGATTTAGTATTAGAATTTCCAGATCCAACAGGTTCATATGTATTATCCACCGATGCATCAAATAATGGTCTTGGTGGTATTTTGAAACAAATTACAACATCTGGAAAATTAAAAATCCTTTATTATTTATCAAGGAAGTTATCACCATCTGAAAGAAAATATTCAACGACTGAAAAAGAAGCATTAGCAATGGTTTGGTGTATTGATCGATTAAGACCCTACTTATTAGGAGTTGATTTCAAGGTGGAAACTGACCATTGCCCCCTGTGTAATATACATAAGAAAAAATCAAGAAATGGAAGGATTGATCGTTGGATAGTTGATGTACTACAAGAATATAACATTCTGGAGATTAAATATAAAAAAGGGAAATGTCATTGTGACGCTGATTTATTATCCCGTTATCCACAATCAAATGCACGTCATGATGAAAATGTTATTCTTCGTAAACAACAGCATGGTTATTTATTTCCCCATACTGATACCGCAGATGATAATGATCTGAACAATTGCATGTCACCCGCAATCGTTAATGTAATTACACGTTCAAAAACAAAAGCCAATGTTATTCATCCAACATCATCCACATCTTCTACAAATGTTACAAGTGAACCATCGCCACCATTGGAATCCACTACAACAACGACGATTCCATATATTGATTTAACGATCAAACGAATTAAACAGGAACAAAAACTTGATGCAACCATCCAAAATATTATTACACACATGAATCATAATGATAATTCCCATTATGAATTGGTTGATGATGTATTATACCGACTTATTCCACGTGGAACCAAAAATATTCGATTACCATATGTACCGCGTTCATTAATAAAAGATGTGTTATTCTTATTTCATGATCATCCTTCAAGTGCCCATTTCGGTATCAATCGAACATATGAAAAATTAAAAAACAAATATTATTGGCCCAATATGAAGAACTCTATCATTAATTATATTCAATCATGTTTACAATGTTCAAAACATAACATTCGTCGAACTAAACCATCAGGATCGATGCATTCAACAGAGCTTCCAAATGAGGTCCTTGGTATTGTCGGTATGGACTTTTGGGGTCCTACCCATCAAGCATCACTGCATGGAAATCGATATGTTATCACCATGACTGATTATTTATCGAAATTTGTATTTGCCAAGGCTGTTCCAACCAACACGGCCGAACAAGCATGCAAGTTCTTCTACGAAATTGTCTGTCAATTTGGTCCACCAACAAAATTGATAACTGATAATGGTTCTCATTTCATATCGGAGTTAACGCAAGCAGTCGTTCAACAATGTAACACAACACATATTCTTACAACGCCGTATCATCCTATGTCAAATGGTCAAACTGAAAGATTCAACGCCACATTTGCACCATCATTGGCGAAATTGTTTGACAGGAAAAAACAAGACTGGGATATATATCTTCAATCATGTGTCTATGCTTATAATACCGGTAAACACGCTACAACAGGATTATCTCCCTATCAGTTAATGTTTGGTCGTGAACCTCAACCGCTGATGGACCGAAAACAATTGAAAGTCAGATTATCAAGACCAAATGCATACTGGGATGTTGTTAGACGATCAAGGCTACTGTTCCAACAAATTGCAACAGCCAATGCTCTACATCAAAATTCATTAGCAAAAACGCGATTCGATAAGAATCGCCCTAATCCGCAATATCACATTGGTGAATTAGTATTGATTAAAGTCATGGACAAGTCATCCAAGTTTCAAGAACAGTTTGAAGGACCATATCGAATTATTGAACAAAAGGGTCCATCAACATTTGTGGTCAAAATCGAATCTCCCGAAGAAGATGATAATCCTGATTATGTTAAGCAAGTTACGATATGTGATATGAAAAATGTTATTACACGTGACATTTGATAGTATCCATGTTATTTCAAAATCTTGATTCCTTCCACAATGATATTTATTCATTAAAATATAATTTTATTTAACATTGTCCTTATTATTCATCTAGTACTGTCACTTATCTATGTTAAATTACTATTAATTACGACGTCAATACTTGCATAGTATTTATAACTGTTCTAAAGAACTTTTATTCCGGTCAACAATTATTCAACTGCATATTACTTATTAATCCTTCGATGAGCGGGACGCTCATCTATTGTGAGTAGGGAGGTGTTATGTATTGACCATTTGGATTACCATATATCACACGGTCAATCACTCGTCTAGTGTATGTTATTCTCTTCTCTTCGGTACCTTGATCTATGTTATTCTGGGCTTCTTTTATCATTTTCCTTTGTTTACTGTTACATAGTGTTTCACTTCTTTTCTTTTCAATTGTTACATATACATTCCTACTCTTCTGACGGCCTTTTTGTAACTCTTCCTTTGTTCATTTTTTCAATCAGACGAAGAAGCCTCTCGACTTCTTTTCTGACTAGTCCCATTTTTCTTTCACTATATATACGTGCTACCTAGCTTTTTTGAGAGGGAGCACGCAGTTACTCTATCTTTTCTAAAATAAAGTGGTGATATAACAACTGGGGGCCTGACCGATTCTCGTGTCAATTCAGCATCACACAAGAAGAACCCGAATATTTATTTGGAAATATATAATTTATTAATTAATGCAAGGTTACAATACAAGAAGCAAAGCTACTGCATTATCAACAACAAAGGTTAAAGAGCTAGATATGAAAACTGAGCAGGACACGCTAGTGGAATTATCTTATAATCAAGAAGAAACCAAACCATCAACAACAATATCAAAAGCTACAGTAATG